GAAATCTGGGAAAGCTGCAATTGATGTTGATATCATTTTGAAGAGCTTTTCCAGCTCTATCCAATGCTTAGCTCAACTTTGTCCTAAAATATTTTCTTATAGCTTTTTCAAAGCTTTGAATGCGGTATACTCGATGAGCAAGTTGGCATGACTTTCTTTTTCTAGCTTTAAATAGACCTGAAAGTGGCGGAACAGTTTATTTATTTATTTATTTATTTATTCTATGCACGCGTAGGTGCGCTAACACTTTCCAATAAGTACGGTCTTAGTAACACATACTGATGAGCAAAACTAAAACTATCTTAGTGCACCAGGCTAAGAGCATTCCTTTGTACGAAAGAGAAGAGAAGATAGTGTAACATCAAAACTTATCGACAGAATTTGCAGTCTAGGCAAGCTTTAAATGCAAACATTCAGTATTCTGTCTTCAGTAGGCGGATAGCGCTAGGGAGAACGCCACTCCTAATCGATAGATACGTATATGTAAGGAATCCGAACCTGGATTTTCGGATGTTAGGTATTCCCTACCCCTAACAATCCAGGCTCAGACCCGCCAGCACTTTACTTTCTAGCAAATCCTCAAGTTGAGTCTGCTCACAGGGTTGTTGCGAAGCAAATATTTCGCAAGTAAGACTTTCTCCTCGTATTCAGAAGCTCTCGCCTGCTCTGGCTCTAGATAGTTAGACTAAGTAAGTGGTTTGCAAATAAGTAACAAAACCATCGAAAAACAAACACAAAACTAAAACAGAGCAAAAGGGCATAATTAAAAACCAAAGAAAACTATGATCAAAGAAAGGAAAAGTAGGATCGCCACTCTCATCATGCAAAAAGCCAATCGGAGCGTAAAGCAGTGCAGGGAGTGATTTCTCTGGAAGCATATAAATTTGCTTTCATTGTAATCTCGAAATAAAATCAAAAGTCGTGAATACCAAGAACACTTAGTAAATCCACTTCCTTTAATTTCCTTTTGAAAATTTCGACGTTGGAGGCCCTTTGTACATCAACTGGTAACGCCTGAAGCCACTTTGCTCCTCGGAAAATGAGTGAATTCGAAACCTTAGCATGTTGTTTTCTAGTTAATTTGGGACATTGTAAAGAGAGCACCTGGGTGCGCCCTTTACAAGGTCTGAAAACCCAGTAGTTACTTGGCTTCAGCCTCAGGTCACCTTTCAGCAACCTTGAAGCAGAAGACAATGTCGTTGAAAATGCGTCGATAAAGCAGGGATTTGAGGTTAAGGCCCTTAAGTCGTTCACTGTAACCAGGCACAGGTGTTGGAAACGTTGCAGTCAGGTTACATCTCTGCATTACAATCCTAGTGAATGTTTGTTGGACTTTCTCTAGTTTAGCCTGAAGCTTTCTAGTGTGTGGGCTCCAAACTTGGGAGCCATACTCTAATATCGGAGCCACATAAGTCTTATAGAGTCTCAATAACATATAAAAGGGTTGGTTTGACTGAGTGAAACCAGATTCCATATTTGATCGTGGTGTGGAAAGTGTCGCCTTTTCCGCTAAACCACTTTCGTCCATCTAATCGAGAATAGCTAACGAAACATCTTCATTCAGTCAATTTGCAAATTGAAGGATAAAAATAAATAAGGAATAAAATATATGAAGATATAGCACCCATCAGGCTCACCTTCGTTCGATGCATTTTCCCGACGGCCTTCAGCCGGTCGCATGAAAAATCGTTTGGATTTTTCAATTCGTGAGCTAATCACCAGGTCACAGTGTAGTTGCTGCAGTTGGTGTTCTGTTCCCGTTCCTCTGCTTTTCTGCATCGGTCGAAGTTGGCAGTAGTTTTTAAACGTTTTCTAGCAGTAATAGATTGCGACCACAAATTGCTCTAGCATAAGAAGACTTATAAGACCCAGTTAATCTCGACATCGTCCAAATAATTATTAATAGGAGCAAAGGAGGATAACA